TCCCAACACTAAACACGGTGCGATGATAGTCCCCTGTGGTAGTTTTGACTGGTTCTCTGCCAAGTGAGTTTGTTGTGGGAGTGAATTTGCTCATGTTCTCCTCGGCAGTTCACTGTCCCATTTGGGCATTATGTGAAAGTCTTCCAGGAAACAGATTATACAGGTACTGACTACAGGCACATTGCATAGATTTCCACTAATTCTGGGTAGTGTGAAATATTTTGAGGCATCCATGTTTTACACTTTTTTCCCCTAAAAGTTGATCCAGAAATGCCAAGACTTCTTGTATGTTGAGGTTTTGTTTTCCTTGTCAGCTGTTTATCTGGCAGTTTGGAGCACAGATTTGTCGGTGCAAATACATGTAGGTACGGTACTGTTGTAAGATTTGCACCTGTTTTTCTGATGTAAAAAGACATGTGAACACAGAAAATGAACTTCAAGGGTTATTTTGTCCAGGGGGGCAAAAGTTATCCCTTCTGCTGCCATCAACAGTTTGCTTTGCATCCCCACGAGTACAGCTTGTGATTGGCCAGTCATCAGTCTTCATTCACACCTACAAGAACAAGCCAAAGTCCCAGTTGTAATTAGCGACAACAACACCAATTTCCGCCGTTGTCAGACAGCGGGTGTAGAGGAGGATCAGTTGATTTCCTGTGGCCGTCAGGACCGATCAAAATGAGCCGGCGAGGCAGACCATGAGAGCGAGGGCCTCCACTTTTCCTGGGTCTGAAAGAGGGGGAGGTGAGTAAACTGACCTGGCATGGCAGGGTTACTGCTAACTAGGACACTTGCTTCCTGCAAAGTGTGTAGTGTTTCCTCTTTGGAAGCCGGTCCCTAGTTGGAGCCCGCCCGGGGAACGTAAACTTCCTCCCTAATATTTGTCCTGACTCTTTGACGTGTGCAGGTGTGAAGGGAGCGTTGGACTGTTGTCCGTCCCCTTTTGCATCCTCTGTCCCCCAACCAAATGCCGATCCAGATTTCAAATTAGAGCCTTGTCAGAAACCTGCCCCTTTCTACTGCGTCTTTTCTTTTTAAAAACATTTTTCCTGATTGTTAATCTTCAGCCGTTGACACCAGTGTGGTTTCAAAGCACACTTGACCCATAAGAGGATTAGTTTTGCCTTAACAGTCTGACCTTTTGAAGATCCGCAGCTAGAGTCCATTACTGAGTTGAACTTTATTAACCCTAACAGTCCTCAATCCTCCAACAGGTGAAGGATTAAGGACTGTTAGGGTTAATCATAACCCTTGCCAATTATTCGTGTTGTTTTCTCTTTACTGCCTTGTCACCTTTTTAGTACACTCCAAGAACATAGAGCTAGGAATGCCAAGACGAAATCGGACACAGATATTTCCTGTGGTGACTGGCCTTGGTACACAGATGCTTGAGGGTTGTACATGTACGCATGCTTACCCTCCATGAACTAGATCAAGCCTCTGTATAGTACTCGTGCAGAAGTAATGCGAATCACTGAAATATGGGGACAAATTCTCAGGAAGAATCGTTCAAACTCACTGTCCTAGCAGTGTCCTCAGAGAGACCTTTTCAGCCCTTGGAATCAGTGTAACTTCCGAGGGAATATTTTACGGGCCTTGCGATCTTTTTACAGTGTTCTCGGGGAGAGCATTCCACAGTCTACGTGTTGTGTAGAAAGATGTGACAGATCGTTGACTGCTGATGTGAATTTCAGGAGCAAGGATGCCTACATAAATCATCTTTTAAGGCTGTAGCCCTGTAATGTTGTACAGTAACCAATCCATTTGCCTTGCTTCTCTGGTCAAGTCCCCTGACCTCATGCTAACCAGTTTCCTGATCAGTTGGAAATGGTTTTTGCATTCTGCTTATAAATAGAGGTGTCAGTACAGACATGTTCTTTATCAATTTTCCTGTACTGATGTTTTGTCAGTTAGATGGTATCTGTGGTGTTGAAGTTCCATGGTGGCAAGTAAAGGGTTTGTTTGCATTGTGAAAGTTCCAATCTGTGACAGGTGACAAATACGCAGGAATTTTTGGGGTGGCAGTGCGCTGATGCAGAAGGACTTGGTAATTTGCAGTAGTAGTGCATGCATGCTTATGCATCTGTGTCCTGGTAATTCCATGCAGCACAGATGCTGTATGATCACTGATCGATAAAACATCAAATGCAAGAATGCAAAAGCTCATTAATGGCTCATAATAAAAACGTTTGTTGGTAACGCCCATTTTCACAGAGTTGTGGGTACTGCTGCTGGTAAGAGTCTAGGCCAGCAATTGGAAACTGCTCCAGTTTGAAAATAACCGCTGTAGACATAAAAGAATACAGAGACTTGCATAACTCCAGGACTCTGTAGAATGCTGTTTGTTTATGCTGGCACATTTAACTGGAAACAAGTTAATTCTTTGAAGTTCTATAGACCTTGCCTTGGGATTGTCAGAACTTCAGAGAGAAGGAAAATCTTCACCATTGTTGCTCTTCATGGATTGACTGTTAATTACAGTGTACAGTATTGTAGAGACCCAGAATTTAAAATTGCTTGATGAGAGGACGTAAGTAACTCTAACAGCCAAGGAACCGTAAACGAATTCTATACATTGGTGTAAAGAAAAACTTACAAATTGCTTTCTGTGGTCTTGCCTGAAAACAAAACAAGGCCAGAAACCCCCCCCCCATATTATTAGGTTGCACAAGACTGTCCACATTTCATAACACTGGAAACATTCATCTCTGATTATGTGCACTGTGCACAAGTGCCCCCCACTGGTAAGAAATGAAGAGATTGGGACAACAACGGAATGTGAACATACTGCACATCTTTGCGGACTAACTTGTACAAACAAAAAGGGGCATCATAAATGGTTCCCTCCCACAGGATCCCCCACATGCACATGTATATTGGAGTGAAGTTAAGCACCAGTCCTTTAGTATCAGCCCGATACGCGGGTCAGTTTTTTTTACTGTTCATCTGACATGTTACGATTCCAGTTTTGATCTCACAGCTTTTGTGAATGGTTGACGAAATTGATATTTTTTGTTTTTACAGGGCTTGACAAAGATAGGAGGAAATGAATCGCTTTGAACCTTACATTGTTGAACTGAAACTGGTCCTATGATTTCAAGAAAAACACTCATCTGTGTTGGCATGTGGAAGAGAATGATAGCAGAAACATCTGGACAAAATAGGCCAAAGTCACACATTGCTGGTCATGTAAAAAAATGATCGTACTGAGATGATGTGCATATCGAATGTAAAACCGTGCATTTACACGAATGGGAATATGATCAGGTTTTGCTTCATCATGATACCAGTTTGTAAAACATTGAAAAGCCAAAAATGCTGTTGACTTCAAGAACTTTTCTACCAGTAGGTTGCCTGTTGAAATGAACACAGAATAACGAGGAAACTCCGCTTCTGCTAGCAAAGCACAGTATAGGCTTTGTATGTAATGAATACACCAGAAGACCTATATGCAATGTACATGTAATTGTACACGGCCATGTATGACACATTGTGCCAAGTTACGTCGCAAACAGACCATCCAAGTGTGACATGAAATCCTTTGTGCACTTGAGTTTGCCGACTCCCGGTGTTTCATTGGGCTTATTATAACTCACACTGCTTGCATCAGTATATTGTAATGGGATGGATCTGGGTGAGGCTAAAAGGGAAAAATCAGCAGGTCGACTGTCTAATGGGCACTATGTCTGGCCTGGTGGGTTTTGCCGTAACACTCGCGCTGTTAAGATTTGCGCTCTCCCAAGTGATGGAAAAAATACCATTGTTAAGTTATTTGTTTTGGTTGGAATGGCACCCCCCAGCATAGCAACAGTGTTGAGAGTATGTTCATTACCATGTGAGTGCTTGCCCTGCTCTCTGTGAGGAATTAACTGTTTTGCCTAGAGATTTCGAAGCTAAAACTTAGCCCTAAAATATAAGTTAATGGTCCAAGAATCTCATCATCGGAAGAGTGTGACGAAAGTAACCTGGAGGACCTGTAGTGGGACTTCCACTTGTTTTCTGCAAGACTTGGCTCCTTTTATAGGAGCCTACATGTATATTCAAACTGTGCATTGATCTGAACAGCTGTGGCTCTTTATTGTGGTGTGCTTGCCGCAAAAGCGAGCCACAGCCACAAAATAGTCTCCCAGGCTATACTGCCACACATTAATACATGTATCTATTGGTTTTGGAGGCAAACATCCCATCATAATTACATGTACCAGTATTTCTACTCGCGGGAAGATAGTAAAATACTACACTACTTCAGTGCTTGATAATAGCCAATTCAGTCAAATTGGAGCATCACTCTACACGGTGTGTTGCATATTATTGCTATAATGCCCTTGGAATCCTTGCTACTTGTAGCAACCTTCCAAAATCTTCAAAAATCTTCCACATCTCAGGAACCCAAAGGAGCATTTTTTGTCGTTACATTAATTTTTCAGGTACACCAAAGACCCACGTGCAGCAACAGTCATTTGCTCCTTGTGTTATGCACATGTACCTTCCTCAATACACCAAAATCCTTCAGAGCTTCTTGGTAGATTTTGAAGGAGCAGGGAAGACGGGTTAACCATGCATGTAACTATCCAGGTCATGTAGACTCGGCCCTCTAAGCTTCTCTGCTATTTCTTGAATGTGTTTCTTGGAAGGGTGACCATTACCTCAGTCCTTCAAAATATTTGGATGTGTGAATGATATGTTTGAGTAGTATGGATGATGTCCCGTACATGTTCAGCCTAAATTTTATTCATGGCTTAGCGTAGACAATTCTGGTCTGGCCGTAGACCTTGACAAATTGCATTCTTCAAAATCATCCACAAGTTCGTTGTTTGTTTTTTGTCCTACAATCTATCCTTCTGTATTTCCAAGTTATGCAAGGAGAATTTTGGAGGATTTGAAAAGGTAAGGTAAGAAGTGCTTGAGATATGTAAGACTTCAGTACACGTACATGTATATTTTACTTTTCATGATTTCTAATGCACCTGGTTTTTTTTTTCTTTCTCTTTTTTGGTCTGTAGGAGAAGATCCGAGTCAAGTTCGACAACCTGATGCAGCTAGAACATTACAACATAGTCAAGTTTCACAAATATTGGGCAGACATCAGACCAGAAGTCAAACCGAGGGTAGGTCCACCGCCCTTTCATGTTTGATCTGTCTGATTCTGCATGTACATTGTACCTTAGTGGTTTAGGGGAGATGAGTTTGAATTGACCGATAGACAGTGTGTGTATTCACCTGTGTTTATTCTCACACAGTGCCCAACAATGCCAATCATTTATTCATGCTAGGGTGCGTCCTTGTAAACATGGACTTAAGATGCACCCCCACCTGTACTTTGTGAGCCAGGAATTCTATAAATGTGCGGCAAATTTTTGGGAGTCAGGTTGGTAGAGTGGCTGTTTCCTCGCCTTCCACTTCTGCGACTCGGGTTCGAATCCCACCGGTATGTAGGTCAGCATGTGGATTGGGTTTTCAGTCCCTGCCTGACTCTGTGGGTTTTCCCTGGAATATTCATCTAGGGTTTTCCTCCCACCTCTGATATTGAACATTTCTTCACCGTCTCCTTAATATCACTTCATCCTGTAATTGGCGCTAAATTTGCTGTTGGTTGAGCAGATGTAAATAAATGAATAAATAGATTAGCTTGCTGCTTTTGTGTGTAGTGGCTACATGTACACAGCTTAAAATGTGTACAAACGAATATGCATGCCATTGCTCACAAAGACATTCCTGGGACTTTCTTGTGTAACCTGTGCTAGGCTTGTGTGACTTGGAATGGGAATGGATCTTTTGGGCACCACTTACTTCAGGAGTTCCATTCTCTGTAGCTTCATGATTTATCATCTTAGACAATTGACTTTTTGTTTCTGTGGATTTTTATAGAGTTTACAAATTGACTATGGTGCATCATACATGTACTTACAGAGCAAGCAGATCCGTTTTTTATTTGGAAATAGTGAGAACATGAAATTTTAGGTTGAAACTGTGTGAGACGATGTGTAAACTTCAGATTCATGCTGGTTACCCAAATTTGGTGGATGTACTGCATATGTGACTGAAGCCCAACCAGTCATTCATGTGCCAAATCGCATACATGTAGAGCTTGATTCAGCCCTCCCCTTTATTGAGGATTTAGGAATCTTCTCAACCCAAAATGCTGAGGGGGGGAGGAGTTTGAATCGTGAAGGATAACATCTACTACTGCTTAATGGGTGTGGCCTAGTGGTATGGAGGGTCAGGGGTTCATATCCAGCCACCAGCCATATGTTGTGTCCTTGAGCAGGCCACTTTACATCCACTTGCCTGTCTTCCCCAGGGGAATAGAATGGGCACTAACACAAGCCCAGGAATACTGTGTCAGGGACAAGCATCCCATTTGGAGGATAGCACTGGAAATATGCTATGTTGTTTCATGATGCTGCAAGGCGGAGGTCAGATGTACTTTACTATTGTTTGCTCGGCAGCCTGTGTTAATTCCGAGTTTTTTGCTTCTCAACAGGTAATTTTTATCACAGAATACATGTCCTCGGGATCACTACATCAGTTCCTGAAGCGCATCAAGAAAGACAAACGGAATATCCAGGAGAAATCCTGGAAACGGTGGTGCACTCAAATCCTCTCAGCATTAAGGTAACAGGACATTAAGGGGGGAATGAGTGGAATCCAAATTTTAGTGTGAAAACTTATTGAATCTGAAAGTCTAAATATTTACTGTGGAAGAAATATGTTGAGAAACTTGAGGAGGGATTTATATTAGAGCAAAATGTTTATCCCGCTTACCACTTTTTAAAGCTGTAAATTTGTATGATACGTTTTCTTTAGACATTGCGCATGTGGATTTTCTATTTTGGTCATCGCAATGCACAATAGAAAGTGATAATGAAAGAAAAATGTAAACTTGTGTCAGCTCAGTTTTACTTTCGTTACCCTCAGTCCTTACAAAATCAATATAAGTGCATCATCTCTGCCTAACTTGTCAGCTACATGTAGGTTTGTCTCTTCATATTCTTGTTTGACCAACGTGCTCTGAACCTTTCAGCAGTAGCCAGTAAACGGTGCTGCCTTTTGCACATCATGCGCCTTAGCAATTGTAGCAACAATTCAAGCTGTATTTACTTGGAACTACGTTTCCTCCCAGCCGGTGTGGAGTTCACTCTGAAATCGCAACAAACAGTCCTATCAAGTGTTCCCATGTAGGCCCCCCCTCAAAAAGCACTGTGTGATGGCCATGAAGGTGCCTCCTTACATTGTACATTTTCTTTCAAACAAGGCGTCCAAAAACCCTCCAATGGTTTTCACTGTCTTGCAGCACATGCCCTGTAGTGTGTGCAGACATGTATGTATCTTCCCAAGGCATGGACGCTATTCTGTGCAACACGTTTATTCAAATGCTGGACAAAAATTCAATTGTACCAAAGGCTGAGGGAAGCCAATGAACCAAAAGTTGGAAATGGATGTTTTTGTTTCTGCCACATCGGTTTCCCTTTTAAAACTTCGATGAGTTTGTTCAGACTCTTAACCCTGGTCATTGGCGTCTGCTAATATTATCATTTACTGATAACTTTTCAAATATCAGCCTGCATAATTATCCCATACAATATTGCAACATCCTCCACTAATCAGCCATCCTTGATTAAAAGCATATGACATGTACTTGTGCGCCATTTTGTTTGATCAATTAAAAAAAAGTGGCTTTTATGCACCAATGCAAATATAAATTGCTACATATTTTTTTTATTAAATATGCTGAGTAATGTGGATTTGTACAATAGCAATTGTTGAAATTTGACGATTTATGTATTTTTTTCCCTCATTGTAGTTACCTACATACGCGCGACCCACCCATCATCCACGGCAACCTGACAACGGACACCATTTTCATCCAGCACAACGGCCTGATCAAGATAGGCTCCGGTGAGTTCAAAGGCCCGCGCAGCTGCCGACAGATGGCATCTCCATTTCCGTTGACAGAATGAAACTATATGGACCCTGGTGCATGCCTCATTGCCCAGGCGAGTCGCCAGTTCTTGCTGGAATCGCCCAGCAGATATTATTTTGGATAGTATCTGTCGTAGTGCTTTGATAATGATGATTATTGTTATTAATTATTTCTGGTCCTGAAATTAAGGATTCCTCAAAAGCCCCAAGGCAGAGTCATTTGTAAGCTTCAACAAGCCTGTAGAGAGGAGGAGAAGAGAAGAGATTGCAAATCACCCTAAATGCCCTTCGTGAAATTGTGATATCAAATCGAATATTCCTGCTGCGAATTTGCAAAAGTTGAATCAACTTTGCTGCAAATGTTTCGTGATGTCGGTTAGCTTTGTTGTTGCATTACTAGTGTGGATGTCTGGATCAAATTACAACATTAAAGTGCTTGTCATAATCATATCCCATTTTGTCAATCCAGTCGCACCTGATGCCATTCACAACCACGTGAAGACATACCGGGAAGAACAGAAGAACATGCACTACATCTCACCAGAGTATGGAGGTTGGTAACCAGCTTCTTGTGACGTAGTGATACACTAGCACTCTGGTGGTTTAACTGTGACAAACAGCAACCTGTTACTCTTCCAACTCTGCGTTATCATCGTATTCATTGGTTCCTCGACTGCCTCCAGAATGTAACTGTTGATAACCATGATTTTGTCATGAAAGGTACTAAATTTTGCCCATCATTGTTGATACTTAAGAAGCACTGTGTATTCAGTGCTACCCAAGAGATCCAGGGAAATTCTCAAGCTTGCTCAGGGTGGATGTGAACATTCTCTCTTCTGCTCCCTGTTGCAGAGGTCAGAATAACCTAACTTTTGACTTAACCAAGGTCAGCTGGCTGGCTCAAATCAGAGATGCCAAGCTTCTGTCTGCAGTCAACAGGGAATCGGTGAACTTCACTTGCGTTACACTAGCACGATATTCCAGAGGTTGCAGTTTAGACCCTGACAGTTTTGTCCTTGATTTGCTCAGAAATTGGACGCTTGTAAGTTAAAACCCATTTGACTCTGGAAAGTGAGTAGAATATGAGTTTTTTGCTGATTGATTTAATTCTTTTCCCCTCAGAGTCGCAAGATCTCCTTACAACAGCCGTGGATATCTACGCCTTTGGTATCTGCTCACTGGAGATGGCAGTTGTAGAAATCCCAACCAACGGTGACAACAAGCATATATCGCGGGAAGCCATCAATAACGCAATAGGCCAACTGGAGGACCCACTTCAGAGGGTAGGTCATCCTGAGAGATTGCTAGTATCAGAAGGAATCAGCCTTGGTGTTTTTACAAATCTTGTGGATATCTGGGGTAATCGACTGCAGACTTCAGTTTCATAAATTCAGTCACCGATTATAACTTTCAGGCTCAGCACAGGAACATTTCCCACTGCAAAAATGTCAAGTTGTCTGCATTTTAGGCCAACGTTTGGACATATGACTTGGTTCTTACATGTTTAATGAGCATTAAAAATTGATCTGGAACACAAGATCAAAGGACATTTATTGTCATTGAGCCTACTTATTAGCCTAGCGAGAGTAATCCCACAATGCATTTGACCCAGAGGGACTGAATGTTAATGGTTTAGTTATGAATGATAGTGTTAGAATTACATGGTCCTGTGCAGTGATGTGTGGGCTCAAAACCCCAGTAAAAAGCACAATTCCCGTCTTGCAAGAAACTTGGCCACAAGGAGCATAAATGGGTAACTTAGTGGAGTTATTGAGTCAGTGTTTAATCTGCTGGATTATTATGAACTGGGCAATGGGAATAATAACCGTGAAGTGCTGAAGAAATTTGTAAAAAGTGACATGTAATCACTACGTTATCAATATTATTGTCCCGGGCAGGATTTCATCCGTAAGTGTGTTGGCCCGGTAACCACCAGACCCACAGCAAGAGAGCTGCTATTCCATAACGTCCTATTTGAGGTTCACTCCCTCAAACTCCTATCAGCGCATTGCTATGTCCGAAATGAAGGTGAGTTTTTAAATTCCTTTTACCTCAATAAAATAAGTCCAGTATATTTATGGCCGTCATGTACAGTTGGACCTTGCAAATTTTACCATGTGCTTTATAGCCGTGTGTAGCACACACCATTGGTGAATTTTCTAAGACATAAAGCAAACAGTAGACAGTGTCAGAACTGTACTCTCAGAAAAGTACAAGTTCAGGCTTCAACCTTAAGCTTCAGAGGGTCAAGGCCACTTGGCCTTGAATGCTCCCAAAAACCAAAGGGCACCAAGGCCAACCGAAATGGCACCAAGGCCACTTGGAAACTTTTACTTATCGTGCTTGTTGGTGACTTAAACACAGACTTTCCTTCAATTTCAACACTTTAACTTTCAACCTGCAATTTTCACTGTTTCTGGTCACATGCTGAGCAGTCTGCTTGAATTGAAAAAATAAAAATAAAATATGTGTAATACTGTACTAACTTTCAATTTACCATTTGATGTTGTGTCTTATTTTCATGATGCCATAAAGGCAACACTGCATTTTGAAAATCACTGTAGTTACTTGCAAACAATGCAATTTAAGCAAGCTGGTCACTGGTCACAGCCCAGTGCCCGTGTGAATACCAGTAAAATAGTGAGGAAAAATAGACTGGGTCATTCTCCCATCCACAATCTCCAAAAATAGTGACTCGGTCTCAATATGTCCAACATATAGAATCCAATCGGTGCAGTATGTGTAATTCTGCACCTTGACTTGTAACCAGTCTATGTATAAAAGTAGTCTGGTGCCACATTTTTAGAGTCATACAACTCAACTACATGGGTATGGTTGCCATACCATCTTGTCTACAGGGCGATGCAAAACCAGTCCGTGAAAAAAATATAGTGCTCATGCGGACGTTGACAGAAATGCTAGTGCGAAACGGTAACTTGAAAGTTGAATACAACATTAAATACATGTAGACCTAGTACTGATCATTGAAGAGGGGCACGTCTGCCAAGTGGCTTAAAGGTACGCACTATTTTTAAAGGGCATCACGGCAATTCACTGGGGCATCGCGGCAGTGGCCGCTGGTGGCCGCTGTAAAGATCGAAGCCTGCAAATTCATGGTCTTCTAACATAAATTATGTAGGTGTTATTATCAATGTCAGTTATATTTGTAATTGACTTTACTGACGTGAAATGTTTTTTAACAAGGTCAAGTTTTCACTTTGCCACTTGAAAACATTGGCAATAACATTCCCTGAATACTTCTGTGCATGAGCAGATGGGACTAGTGTCAAGTATGCTTTCGCCAGTCATTTGCCGATGAAAGGGTCTCTTAAAATCTGACTCACAAGACAGAAGAACTAACAAGACACAGGCTTTAGTACTGTTCAGATTCAGGGAGGCAGACTGCAGCCTTTTGCCATTACCAACTACAAAAAGACATTGCTTTGTGCAGACGGGAGAAATAACATTGATGTATTTTTTTTTCCAACAGCTATTTTAGACCATGCCGATAATGCACTGACAGAGAGACTATCCCCAGGTACAATCATAGCTAGTGTAGTACATCCCGACGGCCGGGAAGGTGTGCAATGGAAGTAAGTCCAGTTGAACCTTAATCTGTCTACATTTGTCACCTGGTGTGACTACCCATGCTTGTGGCTGTGTCATATCTGTCAAGCTATGCCTCTCTGTCTGTCTACCTGTGTGTTACCTTCTCTGTTTGTCAGTGTGTCACAGAGATGGTGTCAAGAACAAAGCTGCTTAAAGTAATTACACATGCCTGCTAACTACTTTAATTTAACCTTTCCAATTTTGTGAGTTTTCAAAGGTCTGAGTATCAGAATGTTCTGATTTTCCAAATTTTCAGAAGAAAACCCAAAATCTGGAAAACATCTTGCATCACCCTCTGGGAAGTTTGCTCGTATGATCTTAAAGAACATACACCCTAGGGAGTTAGGGTTAAACATTGATGAACCACAATACATGCACTGCTTGTATATAGAAGGAAATCATTGTTGCAAAGGCACCCAGTGGTGTGTGACTCCATACAGACACGACACTCAATGGCTGTTTCATTAAAATACGTTCACTGCATTATGGACGCACAGCTTCATCACGCTTGTCCAGTTGCCTGATACAAAATCAATGGGGAAAAAACAAAACGTGTATGTGTGCTTGCTGTCCAGTTCCTAGACAAAATGTCCTGACTGTTTATTATGCTTTCAAGGATTGAGATCGCATGTTGTGTTCTGTTTTCTGTCATTCAGATGTTGATGTTCAGGTAGGATTAAAGATTAACGAACAAGCAGCCAACTTTGAAATCTCAAGTTTGATAGTTTCTTTGAATCTGGTAATGCAACAAGGCAGTAGTCATTCCATTTTCAGGAGATATTTATTCAGCATTGTATTTTGTTTAAAATGCAGAGTTTCCCAGGTTCCAGCCCTTGAGATAGAGAAGTTCATTGAAGAAGTCAAGTGAGTTTTTTTAATGCAGTTAGCTTTTTTGCTGTGTAGCTGGAATGCAGGGCATCAGTTGATGATGTAAGATGCTTTAGTCTTAAGAGGGAATAAAAACTGTCTAGATTTAAAAAACAAAATAGATAAAATACGAACAACTGAAGTATTTTTAAATAACCGATGTAGTTTTTTTTTTGTTGGTAACAACCGAAAGATATAACACTGTTAAAATGAGATATGAGCATTGACCCAAAATTTGTTGTGTCTCTAAACAAAGGGTAATAACCAGGGTTTTTCTAACAAAGATTTTTTAACCATGAATCTTGGACAAAAGGCTGTTTAACCCATAGTTAGTTTGATGTGTTTGTAAGAGTTCTTTTTTGGAAATTTGTCCCTGCAGAAACGGTGTCTACCCCTTAACGGCATATGCACTGCCTGAACCCCATCCTACCAAGACGAGGCCGCAGACCCCCGAGACGGCCGAGTCGGTGAAGAGCGCCACACCCGAGCCGCTGGAGGTGGAGAGCAGATCCATCATGCTGATGCAGTGCGACATGAAGGAGGAAGAAGAGGGCAAACTCAAGGTGAGTTATCTTAGGATCTGGCCCTCCAGTGACAAAGAAGACAATCTTCTTGTTGAGTTCGCACGTGAGCCATTGTCCATTCATTATTTGCATTTGAAACGCGGGCAGATGTTGCATTGTGTGCATCTTGGATAGACCACAGAGAGCCCTCAAGTGGTATCATTCCCAAGGAGGCCATTGTTTATCTTGTTCCCCGCATCTTTTCTATGAATTTGAAACTGATGAATGGGATGGTACCGGACTATTTTACAATTAGTGTACATCCCAAGATACTGTTTCAACAGTTTTGAAATTATTCATCAGAGTAGACTGATACTAATTTGTCATGGAATTTCATTTTGTTGCGTTCGTTCTTGGTCTCAAAGTAACCAACCTGAAGTGTAAACTTTGCTTTCAATTTCAATATGACCGACTTGTGAATAAAGCCAACAGTCTGGTGTAGAGCCTATGTCAGTGACTTAGAAGTTGCTTAGCAACAAGAAAGAAATCTGAATGATTTACAGCACAGTGCACCATCAAGAGATAAGGGAGGCCATTCTTGCCCTATATCATGGGAGAAGTTGGTATCCGTGACATTTATGGACTTGGTGTTCTCATCTGCTTTCCTAAGACTTTAACGGCTCCTGTACAACAGTCTAAGGTCTTTTCCACAACCCAAACTACTCCAAGTCCCGTAAATACCAACTCTAAATGTTGTCATGTTTTGGCTGATTAGGTACCATGAACGTATTCAATTTTGTTGGATGGAGGGTGACGATGTTGGATTTTGTATGAGAGTGGACACACAGCAGTTACTCCGTGGAGTGAGCGGCAGGGGGTACCATGTGCTGGACTGTGTTTGAATGTGTTCAAAGGTTATAGTGCCTTTCCTCTGCAAGTCCCCAGTGTACTGCAGAGACCTATCCCATACCAAATGGCTTAAACTTCAACACTGTTGACCTGTCCAGTCACATGTCAGTAATTACAGTGGCAGTTGTATCTGTTGAACTTTGTTAGGTTCAGCACTGTTTGCAGTACAAAAGCCTAGGGGGTTGGGTGAAAGAGGATTTTCTTTTCTTTTTTTTTTCTTCTTATTTTCCCCTTTTTTTGGGAGGGGGGCTGGTATGTTTGTTTTAGAGCATGAAAGAAACAAAACTGCTTTGGTTTTTGGCCTGTTCTGATCAGTAATAATAATGATAAATTTATAATGCGCAGATTCCACATACTGTGTTCACGTGTGCAGTACATGTACCGTACATTAATACAAAAGATCAGTGGTAACCTTTCACCATTCCCTTTATTTTTAAGAATAAACTGGTTTATCTTTACTCAGTTGGAGTTACTACTTCGAATGGACGATAAAATGAACAGGCAGCTGAGTTGTGAAATTGCAGCAGGTACGGTCTCAATCGTCTTCTTTTTTAGCAGAATAAATCAGACATTTTGTAACTACATGAACATAAAACTTGAGCAAGTATTAACCACTTCCTGCCAGGGACTCCGGGATCGGAGACGTATGGTTTATATGGGTGGCCAGGGTCTCCGAACTCGGACAAAGGAAACAGGGCCCTGTAACAAAAGACCGTTCTCCAAAC